ACTGTGTCTATTTCAGTGCCTGTGGCAAAATAGGGAAGATGTTTCATGGCATCGCCACCTGGATGACCTAGGTGTGCATGCCAGAGATTCTAAGACAAGGGCGAAGGCTGATATCTCTAGATGCAGTAATGGCTCAGAAGGTGGGATGAGCTGGAGATCAAGAAAAATGAGATTGCCTTGCAGAGGAACATCACCTAGCACGCTGTCATGAAAAACAAGCTGGCAGCAACGTGGGAAAGGCTTGAAGTTGCACTCCCAGCCCTTGTTTAGCATCTGACCAACAGACATGAGGTTGATCAGTACACTCAGTGCATGTAATCAGTCACTCAGCTGAATGTGTTGTTTGTAATTCCTGACAATGAGATCAGTGACACAGTCACCACACCCTGACTTTGCTAATGTACCATGGTTGGCGGTTTTTATGGTGATGTTTGCCTTGGCATTGAAAGTCCAAAACAATTCTTTGCATGTGATGAGGCTTGAGGTTGTACCAGAGTTAAGGATAGTGGATAGTGTCTGACTTGTAATGCAGGCCATGTCCTCGTTTGATGATACATAGCTGGAGTTTAGCTCCTTGATAAGAGTGCAGGATTAGTCGTGCTTATGGGTAGGAGCTAGAATGAGTGCTGTAGTTTTATAGTGAGCAGTAGAAGGTGCAGGTGTGCTAGTGGTGGGCTTGGTTTCTGTCATGGCTGCAGCTATCTCTTTCTTCTTACCACCTTGTTTGTTTTGTTGACTCCGTTCCTAATCATGCGTGAGAGATTGAAGAATTCCAGTGCATGCTGGATTTTCACAGGACACCTCCTTGGTATTTTGCTTGTGAATCTGTATACCATTTGTAGGATTAACCTTTTGTTCGACTAAAGGAGCAGAGACAGTATTAGCATACTTAGAACCTGGGTGTGTCAATTTTTGTTGGCCCCATTGGTGATTTGCTTCTTCTGAAAATGCAGCAGTGACATCTTCAAATGCAACATGGATGAGAAGAATAGTGGTTGAAGTTGTGCTGGAGGAAGATGATGGTGCCTTTTAGAGTCTGAATGTGAGACTGCGAAATACAACTCATTGTGGTGTTTCTGGTAGCCCATGTAAGAGCATCCAGATGGCCTCAGAATCTGAGAAGGCTATTCTCATCTCTGTGAACCTGCGACGACCATTTTTGAAGACACTAATGTATTGTGATGCATCATCAGCATCTTTGAGTCATTCTGAGAATAACTGATTATGAAGTTTAAACTGGGAGGTGACATCAAGTCTGCCAATATGTTTGGATAGTGCGTTCCACTGCTGACAGGCCATTAGCTTTTTACCAAGTATATTTTGAACAATGGGAGAAAGATGTCTGCCAATAATTGCTTTGGCTTGGGTGTCTTCTTTTGCCTAATCTTTCATACAGGTGAGTTTGGCACTCGTAGGCTATCCAGCTGCAACTGGTGTGGGCATAACACTGGTGAATTCGGTGATACCATTAGGATCAGAGCCAGTGCTGCAGTGATTCCAGAGTCCTTCTCTAGCTAAGGCTAATTTGACAGCCCTTGTCCAGCTGGAATAAATGTCAGTGGCAGATAGTTTGATGATGTGATCAAATTTACCCATACTTGGAGATAAAGAAGTCAGTTGATTATGAAGGTTTGTGGGGGTCCAACCATTAGAGGAACCTGAGTGGAGTTCTGTACATTTGATGGTGTTCATATGGATCTGAGCTTATTTAGAGCTCAGGGCTCATAACCTATACGTGCTAGTAGAACTAGCGGAGAAACAAATTCAGTAAGTCATATAGAATAATACTGTATTCAATATGTATCTAGTGGGGAAACACGCTAGGATACATCAGTACAAATGAAATGCAAGTAGAAGAACATCTACACACCTCAGTAAGTTGTGTAGAATGATACTGAGGTGTGGTGCGAGACAACAAGACTATATACTGTGGACTACAAGATTAGGTAATGAGAGGGAAAGGATGTGTGGTGAGTGTTCATATAGTCAAAAAGTAATGAGACCAGGAAAAGAATATGCGGTGAGTGTCCGTGTGGACGAGAGACACTAAGATTGATGCTACATATGGTGTAGATGGTGATAATATCAAGAAGGGAATTGATAGTCTAAAAGGCAAATCCAACACTCCATTGATCAACACAAGGCATACAAGATGAGGATTCTTTGTGAATTTTGAGTAGGTTGATATTTGTTCTAGATTGATGGGATCATGATTTCAGGACAATTGTCAAGATAGGATGTAGCTGCATCAGAAGATACAGGAAATGAATTCATATTTGCATAATTGTACCACCAGCATCATTACTAGTGGCAATATAAAAGACTATATATGTACATACTTTATAAACAGTTAAATAAGAGTAATTGGACTTAGGGTTTGAATGGTGGAGCTTATTAGTAATTATGAATCATTGTCAGCTTCACCCCAATTCTCAGCAACACCGCTGTAGAGATTCACACTATCACAGGCTTGCAACATATTAGACTTCAGTTCATACCATCCGTGTTCACAGCACCAACTTGCAGCATCATTCCCTGACCTTTCCCCAGCCATTTCTATATCAGGTGATGCTTTCCCGCATTGCGCGACCCTCACACAACTTTCCCACACCTTGTGATGCCCTCACATTACTCACTTTCCTGTGCTTTTATTGCCCTATCATCCAGAAGCATCCATCTATTGTCCAACAAGTCTCACTGGTATGTATTTTCACATTTTACTCAATATGGCACCATATTAGAGCATGGACCCTGACTTACATACCTTATTACATACATTATCTCCCACTTGGCTCACTTAGCGAGACACATATATAGGTTTGCATTTTCACCCTTTACTACACCACACCTTACCTTAGTGGAGTTCTCCATCATGTCCATAGCTAGAGTTAGAATCTATTGGCAGTCATTTTAGTTGTCATTCATTGAGCCCTCATCTATTGCTGGTTTCACTTAGCATTTTGCATTTTTGCACTTTTGCATTTCATGTTCCCATACTTCATGCTTATATCACTTGCCTCACACAACCGCTGTGCAACTGTAGATTTGTTTTCTTTGCTTCCCCTTAAATTGAATACACTTGTCCCTGCAAGCATAGCAGACTAGGCATCACAATTGATCACTATATCAGCTTCTTGTGTCCCTCCCTTAGATTTATCATTTTACCTAGAGCTGAGTTGTTTCATCTTCACCGCCGTTGCATTCAGAAGAGACAGAAGAATAGTAGTTACTGCTGTCATCAGCCTTGTGATCTCTACACCCAAAGAACAACTTATTTTTAATTACCTTGGTGTCTTTCCTCCCTTTGGACCCTATCACTACCACTCCTACATCGTAAAGATTATTCCAAAGTGAGCCTATTTGTAAGTCAGTCATAGTCAGATGTGCCTGGGCCTCCTCCATTTCATCCTTTATGAGGGATGACATTAGTGCTAATTCTTCAGTGTATAGGCGCTGGTACTTCATCTTCATGACAAAAGCCCAGCGGCTAACACAAGAGAGCTTCAGCATGCACTAATTGAAATGAATTTCAGCTTCAGGGAACTGATCATAAGTGTACTAAGATATATGAGTGATGAGTCCTGAAGTGCATTTAGGTGAGTGACACATACTGTTGTAATCAATGACCTTGATTTCTTCATGGGAAGATCAACACAGTCATCACCTGGCAGTAAGCTATACTGGTATGACCTCTTGTGAGAACCAAATCTGTTAGCTACTGTGGGACTACCCTCATTGAACATAGTGATCAAGAGGGGTGAAGTGTGGGGAGAGCTACCTCTCAGGATGGGGAAGCTTCTTGGTATGAAGAGACTAGTAGTAGGTGTCTCAAATATGGGATCCACTAATCCAATAGTAGATCCTCTAAAAAGTCTCTTTAGTGAACAACTACTTATATGACACAGCTCATATCAAACACACCTGGGCTTGACCAGAGTTACTTAAGAAATGGTCCTTGAGCATGAAGAGGTATAGCTCTTTAAAGTGACAGAACTATTAGGCACCTTGGATGTGGCAGGCTGTGTAATACTGAAAGCTGTGGTATGTCAATGTAGTACACAAACAATTCTTGTTTTATAAATGTACCTAATATGTTGGAATGGGCTAAGCCTGCTCTACTATGGACAAACACTCGTTGAGGAGATGACTCTGTGTTAACACTCTGCTTGGCTCTATCCTTGCTACCAGTAAATCCTGTTCCAAACATGGCCAAACACCATCTCTAACCTACTTCCACCCTCTGGGATCCCTACTACAATGTTTTTTCAAGATTTCTTGGAAACTAAATCTTGAGCTAGGAGAGCTATTAAGCACCTCAGAATCAGATGTAGGAGGCTCAGACAAGGAAACACTGGAGTGTGTAGTCAGTGAATTGGATACTCAAGCAAAATTATTTCTAATAAAAACAGACCTAGCTCTTAAGCTGGAAGAAATACTCTTCAAAATGTGAGAACTATTGGGTTCTTCAGATGTGAGAGGTGATGAAATGCTGAAAGCAATAGTCAGTGAATGGGCACTTAGCCAAGATGGCTTCCAATAATAAACAAACCTCTTAAAGAACCTACTATTCATGTGCCCTGATTCAAATGACCTATCAATACTGCTCATCCAAGACATGAAATTCCTGAACAGCATGCAAACTTGTTGATAGTGAATACCTTTCTCTTAAATCAACAAATAGAAAACTCACACGGATAAGTTTGCTAGGACTTTACTAAGTCCAGCAATGCTCTGCAATGATATGGTTCCTTCACAGCAACACAATTTGATTTGTGTATCACTAATCATTGATTCTAACATGGTGCTTCCTTTGGCTACCAAGCACTTTCATAATTCACCATTGACAGTCAATTTCAACATAGCTTGGACAATTAAGGGATTGCAGATTCGTATCTATAAGGACATCCCTCAACTCCAGGATGCTGGCAGAAATCTCCTTGAATCATTCACCAGCATGTCACTGTCTCCTTTTGATCTATCTCATTTAACTAATGATAAGCATGTATTTATTTGTCCTAATTGCACAGATGTGTTTGTAAATAATAATAATGTTATTCATCATCTGTCAGCTTCTATCATCTGTGGTCAAAGGGTCATCCAAGGTGTTGCTCTGGACTTTGGCCCAGGGATACATGATAATCTCTCACAAGACTATCTTGATGACCCAGAAATTGAGCAAGATGGTATATATTTATCACTCAATCTAGTGACTAAACCTCAGTGTGCACCCAGTCTATGGAGAGTATAAAGGCTTTGATCCTTTGGACAATGTCAAGGAACCCATATTATCACATATCAAATACAATATGGTCAACTTAGTATGTGACATCTCTCTTGTGTCTGATTCTTCTGCAGGTCCATGTCCTGGCACAATCAGAAAGTACCACCCTAATACCCCAATTGACAAACCCAGAGGGCAAAACCATCTTCAATGAATGGACTATCCATTTACATCCAAATCTGAATTTGACCTGAAATGCTGGCTTTTGGGTGGGGCACTATTGCAAAAAAAAAATCAATGCCTTTATCCATCTCAAACATGTAAGTTGCTTATCAACATTTGATGTACTAGTATACTAATGATAGATATAGACAAAAAGTATTCCACCCTCTTTCCATATGTCTAAGAATCTGCAGGCTCAGATCAAGGCACTACCTCAGGTTCCTTGATGGTACCACCAAGAGATTAAGGTCAGTTCCTAAAAGATGAATGCACCACTGATACTATATTGGAGGGATGACCTGGATGTTGTCAAGCACCTTGTTGTTAGTGATGTTTCTGGCTCGGCCTGACAAGGCTCAGGCTTTGGAAAATGGTGAGCCAGGCCTGCATAGATGGCTCAGGCTTGGCTAGGGCTCGGCTCGGTCTGGGCCAGGGCTTGTCACCAGAAAAAATCAAATTTCATCTAGTGTTAGTATATGTACCTCTGCATCCTCAGAATCATCAATATCACTTGCTAAGCCATTATCGTCTGAGTCTCCATCTTCGACCATGACATCCCAGCTTTCCCTTTTCTCGTCAATCCTTCCATCCATATAATCAACTTCAGCTGCAATACATGGGTCATCCGAGTCTCGGAACAAGAGGTCCCTTTTGATCATACACTTGAGACACTGGAGAGCTTCGACGATGTCAGATTTCAACCGGTTCTGTTGCTTACTAATAGTAATGCCAGCAGACGAGAAGGCCCGTTCACTCGACATCAAAGATCCCATTATTGAGAGGAAGTCTCTTGCTATCGCAGCCCAGACAGGATAGTGAGGAGCATTAACTGCCCACCACTGGACAATGGTTTGACCACCAAGGTGGTCTTTTGAGTTAAGGTATGCATTGAAGTCTTGCAGCCATGGCTTCGCAGGATCATAGGTGGGACTCGAAGCAGTGGGAGTGGACATCATGTCTTCATCATCAGATAGCTCCCGCATGAGATTTGTGAGCTTTTGGCTCCCTCCGATGATCGTGTTCGCTGCCACAGGTTTTGGAACACCATTGCTGTACATCTCTTCATAATACTATTTGTACTAATGCAATATGAGACGTGACTCTCGCAAATGACAACAAAAGACTTACCATATCTTCAGCATGAGCAAGAGCATCGTGGTACAAGTCTTCACCCCAATACTGATGAATGTGATTCATCTTTTGAAGAGGATCGAGCACTGTGTGTTCGACAGTTAGCTTCATGCAATATCCCATGATTCACAGTAGTTCACATACACATTGCAATGATGTATGCATCAGAGTCTGCAGACTTTTCATAGTATGCCGTAATCTTCGCCACTCCGGCAGTGAGTCCATCTTGAAAGTCGGCATATTTTTCATGGCCATGACGAGTTGACCATGCCTTCCATAGTGCCTCCAGAGCAGGTAATGCTAGATGTAGGGTTGGGCCTTGGTCAGTTGAGAATGCTTGCTGGGCATTATCGGCATGCTTTTCATATGTAAATATAGGTCTATGCATCTCATGAAGCACTCACACTTAGCAGGTCGAGTAAAAGCTTGACACAGTTCCATTCAGACGCTGTGAGTTCGAGGTCAGTTATCTTCTTGCGCTTGTGGGGGTCCTTCTTGAGAAGTCCCATCCGGCCAATGAAGTAATCTACATCCTGTCCAAAACAACAAATGCACATCAGATAGTGGAAGATGTAGATCTAAACATAAACATACATCCTTAAGCTGCTCTGCTCGTTCGAGCATAACATATGTTGATGACCAACAGACTTTCATATCCATCAACAGCTGCTTGTGTTCCTTGCTTGGTACATGACCGTCTTCATTACACAGTTGGATTATCTTGAAAAGCTCTTTGCACTGGGCTGATGAGTGTTCCTGTCCAGTGAACCTTAGGTTAGTTGTGTATTAAGAAATAAATATAAACCCAGACCTTAACACATATAGCACGAACTAATCCAACCTCATCATGCTGGATTCCACGAGAGGCAACAAGAACTGTGTCAGGTTTTGTTGCATCAAAATGCTCGGACTTGCTGTGAGCCGTGAGCAATGCCTGTGCAGTGAGGTTAACAATATGTGCAAGGCAGCTGGGAAAATGTCAAACAATTATCGAAAATATATTCTCTGAACATGTACCACAGACGCCATTTCTTGTGGTCGAATTTCGTCTTTGTGAACTCTTCGATATGCATACCGAAATGGGCCATCATTGTATTGTTATTTGCAGCATTGTCACAAGTAACATAACCAATCTACAAACACATCAATGTCGTGAACATGCATGAAAATTATTTACTGGACCTTATGAGCAATACCAACTTGTTTCACAAGCTTGAAAAGAGCTTGTCCGAGCCGTGTCCCATTGTGGGCATTGTTGAGGCGGGTAAAACCAAGCAGTGCCATTTGAACTTTCCAGTCACGTGGTGACACCTCCTCGACCCAAGATCCTGTCACAGCAAAGTAGCCATCAACATTCTGGGCTTGCCATACATCACACATGAGGTTGATTTGGCCTTTGACTGCCTCGCTCTAAAGTATCTCGATGTTAGTGAGCTAAACTGCTGTGAGTATGAACACGTACAAGTAGCCGGTTGGGAAGATTGGTAAGATTGCATTTAAAAAGATTGATAATAGCTTGCCGCGTCTGTCGTCAACCAGGTATTTTGACGCCATTGGTGGCACTGTGCAGCTGTGTCAATCATGTATTTGAAAGATTTGTGATTTAGTGTGTCGATAGGCTAGATTGAACAAATAAGCATGTTGTCATATAGCAAAAAGCAAAAATGTACTTGATCAGTTTCAATAAGCCACTCGATAGCAGCCTCACAGAAGAGTGCATCTGAATACGGTACTAAGTGATCTTTGGGTTTCTTCTCAGAAAGGTGCGAATCGAGATGAGCTTGAGAGTCTGCAGCAGCTGCAGCATCTAGCTTGCGACGCTTTGAGTCCCTCGGTAACATTGATGTGAATTTATTGGTGTCCGCCCATTGGATATAGTCATCCTGCGAACAAACAAGTTAGTACAAAATAGTTGCTCAGAACATTGTAATCCTTACACAATGTAAAGCGTCCATGTGACGGCGCATGGTTGTTACCTTGCTGACAAAAGCAATGGGCTTTTTCATTTTTTTGCTATCAGGTAGTCAGTTGCAGTGCAGGATGAGTGAGATAGATGAGAGCTTGCCTGAAAATCTCACAATTTTGGTACTTCTTGCCTTTATTATCAGTGTAAGGTGCCGAAAAAAAATTACTGATGTCCCGGCTTCACTGTTCTTGGCACAGTTTTTGGTTTTGGGCTCGTTGATATCCATAATCTCCAGGTCCTTCAGAAAGCTGTCCGCATCAAGGTTGTTGGAAGTTGGAGCAACCTGTGGTGCATTGCCTGCACAAGTACTTGTAAGATTGTCAGCATCACATGCGATAAGTTATGACTTACTTATTGTAGTGGATGGGCCTACCTCGTTCAGGACAGCATCCGGTTCAGCCCCTATGGACACATTGCCGTTGTTAGCAGCATGGGCTCATTTCTTGGCTGTGATAATTCAAACAGTTGAGTTAGTCCTTGAAAAACTCAGAAAATTAATCACCTTTTGTGAGCCATCTGGGTTTGCTGCAAATCAACTTGAGATCACTCTCATCCTCGTCAAAGTTGGTAATGGGGGTCGGAACTTGGGGTACAGCATTGGCAGCACCGTGAGCCTTTCTGTGGGAATGCAATTTGAGGTCAGCAGTGTTATCTGCACTGATTACCTTGGCTGATGGCATCACAACCCATTTAGGATGTTGCACACTGGCAGGTGTTTGGTCATGATCGGAATAGACGTGCAGGGCCGCCATCTGCAGATTCTGGAGTTAAGTGGGCTTGAATTGATTTTTTAGGCGATGAAGACCCAGGTAGAAATAAACTATGTAGTTATCTGGTGTTTGCCATACAAAGATCAAAGCCACAGCCTGAAGGCCCGGCTCTGGCTTGAAATACTGGAGGCCGAGCCTTGAGCCCTATGAGGCCGCCCTCAAGGCCTGGCTGGGCTTGGCCTAAATAAGCCCAGTCAGGCCCAGCCCAGGGCTTGAGGCCGGGCTTTGCACATCACTACTTGTTGTCAATCTGGTCTTTGTGCCTTGCATGGATTTCTGGCCATACCATGAATTTGAAGGTCTAGATAAACAGTGAGTCTATAGAGAGTTCATGAGTGCTGATCATGCATGGGAGATACAGGTGGGCTGCAACCACTGATGTTGAGTGATTTCTGTATTAACATCAATTTTTCAGGATAAACTTCTTCTGGTGTAGAGACTCGCATCTCCACAGACATTTCCCTTCAAATTCTCCCACTTTCTTTACACACACCAGCTCTAATCATTAGGATATGCTTAGTGCATTGGCACACATATATTTTCTATTGCAGGTTTCACATGCAGTGTCTCGCATTCATGTGCATTGCGCATCCATCCTTGCATTGTCCGCACACATGTCTGTCCATCCTTTCTATGTCCTTAGATGTCCATTGGTGTGTTTTCCCACTATATTCCCATTTTGTTTAATTGTTTTCCCTTGCTAATACATGGCCTTGCACTATGTGCGCAGCCGAGACCCTATTACCTACTTCGCATACTATTTTTAGCTTATTCAGCTTGTCACATTGGACCTGTGCACCTAGTGGCACTTAGCTATTTTACTTATACCATTCCTCTACTCTATATTCCGGGTTGATTTTCTACCTACTTTCTCTGTGTACTTAGCTACAGGAGAATTTTACTCATTGTTGCAGTGACTATCTAATTCTTGTGCACTAGTTGTCTGCCATTCACCTTATCATCAGCCAACCTTAGTTAGGGTAATATCAGTTGTCTCGTCTTGTCTCTCTTTAGTCTTTATCGCTCGTTTGCACTTTGCTCTCGCTTGCACATGCTACTTTTGCATCATGTATCTCACACTTCACCTCTCACACTTGCATGCATTCACATATAGTTTCTTGCATTGCTCTCACCTTGCGCATTCCATAGTCCTATTACCCTAGTAGTAGTTTGGTGTCCCTCTTTTTACAAGAGAGGTTTCCCTTGACTCAGACAGCTGCCCTTGGGTCGATATTTTACTTGCACCCAGGACTATCTGTGTTTTCTTGGTTTAGCACCAACTTTCCCTGCAGTTTAGATTCCTCATCTTCACTGGGCCATTTGTTTGTTGGTGTGATTGGCGCTTTGGACAAATCACCTTTAACAATTGGGACCAGAAACAAGGAGATGCATCCCCTGTTGATCTCACTTGCCAATATTCATGCAGGTGTTCACATGAAGGTGACATTACATGTGTTTGCTTTGATCACTTACCTTCCAATACCCAAGTTTCTTGGAGTCTCAAAGCCCACTCATGCAATTTTATCTGTGTAAGTCTATCATTTTTCTATCTCAATTGTTATGTATAATTTGAAGATTGCCGCTCATGATAGCTGTATCATGCCAGACCCAAGAGGAGATCAACACATGATTCACACCCCTTTGGTTGCTTGGATAGCTGACTACCCTGAGCAACTCCTCATTTTATGTACTGCCTGAAAGCATTCACCGATCCCCCTCACTGACTCTGCACAATTTGGGGACCCTCTTCCATGTCCTCCTTGAACTCGCTGAAGATGAAACTCAGCTCCAGGTAAAATGATAAATCTAAGGGAGGGACACAAGAAGCTGATATAGTGTTCAATTGTGATGCCTAGTCTGCTATGCTTGCAGGGACAAGCACATTCAATCCAAGGGAAAGCAAGGAAAACAAATCTACAGTTGCACAACAGCTGTGCGAGGCAAGCAATGTAAGTGCAAAGTGCAGGAAACTTGTGCATGATTAGCATGAGAGCGTGGGAATGTGAAATGTGAAAGTGCGAAAATGTGAAATGCAAAGTAAAACTAGCAATAGATGAGGGCTCAATGAATAACAACTAAAAGGACTGCTAATAGATTCTAATTCTAGCTATGGACATGATGGGGAACTCCACTAAGGTAAAGTGTGGTGCAGTAAAGGGTGAAAAATGCAGACCTATATATGTGTCTCGCTAAGTGAGCTGAGTGGAAGATAATGTATGTAATAAGGTATGTAAGTCAGGGTCCATGCTCTAATATGGTGCCATATTGAATAAAATATGAAAATACGTATCAGTGAGACTTGCTGGACAATGGATGGATGCTCCTGGATGATAGGGCGATGAAAGTGTGGAAAAGCGAGCAATGCGAGGGCATCATGAGGTGTGGGAAAGTCACACAAGGGTTGCATGATGCAGGAAAGCATCGCCTGATATAGAAATAGCTGGGAAAAGGTCAGGGAATGATGCTGCAAGTTGGTGCTATGAACTCAGGTGGTATGAACTGAAGTCTAACATGTTGCCCTGTGATAGTGCAAATCTCTACATTGCATTCACATGCTTGATGCTATTGAAAGGGCATGCACTATTTCTGACCCCTGCAATATCACATCTTTATATAAGACATGTCAGTCATTGCATCTAAATGATGTAGTTAAGCCATACTGAATAGATTGGGGAGATGCATGCTCATCCATTTTTTGACACTGGATGCCCTTCACCAATGACATAATTTTTTCTTCAACCACCCCATTACCTGTGCCATTAACATGATTAGGGGAGTGGCACTTTTGATCATCAACTATCGGTTCTTCAACCTCGTATAGGAGTATGCCACTGGGCAAATGGTGTTTTCATGCTAAAGCAGCTGACTGGTCAAGAGCACCGAGAGCTTGAAAAGCTCCTTCCTGCTATGATTGTTGGTGCTGTCCCCAATGACATTGCATGTACACTATGCACTATCATAGAATTTATCTTTTAGGCTCAAAACCTCTTCCTCTATGAAGAAATGTTACACTCTTTGACTGAGGCCTTATGCAAATTTCACCACTATAAGGCCTCCATCATCACAGCTGGTGGTCATTATGTAAAAAATGGTCCTCTCAATCACTTTCGGATCCCAAAGCTGGAGTTAATGCAGCATGTCACTCATAGTACTCATGTCATGTGTGCCCCATATCAATGAAGCAGTGACATCACCAAGCACTGTTATATCACCCATGTGAAACAGTTTTATTACATGACTAACTGTAACTTATAAGGATTTTCATGGTCAGTGCTGCCACTTCCTCAATCAACAGGAAAAACTTCAATTCTTCCAGCTCTACACAGTTCTGAACTTGCAGCAGACATGCTTAATATACAGAATATCCAGGGAAGCACATGCAATGACTCTCCATTATTCTGAGGCCACCTGGATCTGACAGAAAATGAGAGTGTAAGACTTAGATCTCAACTGCAATAACAAGTAATATTTTCCTAGTAGCTAAATACACAGAAAGTGGGTGGAAAATCAACCTGGAACATAAAGTATAGAGAGGGTATAAGTAAAATAACTAAGTGCCACTAGGTGCACAGGTCCAATGTAGTGATCCAAACAAGCAACAGTACACAAAGTAGGTAATAGACACCCAGCTGTGCACGAAGTGCAGAGCCGAGCTATTAGTGAGAGAAAACAATTGAATAAAATGAGAATAATATAGGAAAACACACCAATGGATCTCTAAGGACATGGGAAGAATAGGTGGATGGGTATACGGACAATGCAAGGATGGATGCACAAAGTGCACAAATGCAAGAGGCCGCACACAAAACCTGCAAAAATAAAACATGTGTACCAATGTGCAAGACGTGCAAGACTTATCCTAAGGATTAGAGCTGGACTGTGTAGGGAAAGTGAGAGAAGTCGAAGGGAAATGTCTGTGGGGATGCAAGTCTTTACACTGCATTGTTGGTCCTGCTCAGACTATTCAGGCCCTGCCACCTAACTTTTTGATGTCATTTGGAAGAGAAAATACTGTCCTTATTGCTCATGAAAGTAATGAACTGCTATCCCCATCAGCATCTGAATGTATGTGTAATCCTTTTACTTATAGCTTAGATTCTCACAGAATGATAGGTCATGTTGTTATCCAAGTCAAATCTATCCTCCAACGTATCACTGAAGCCCCTTGTCTGAGCCAGTTTTTTCTTTATGTAGAATTCTTTAACTTCTCTCATTCATCAGTTGACACCTTCAACAGCCTTTGTCTTGTTACTCCTGCATCTGTGACTGACATGTGCCTGGTTCACTGTCATCTTCATTCAAACAACACTGCTTTAGGGGACATAGTACCTCTGGAAAGTGTGTCGGGTCATTCAGTTAATTCCAAAATTTGGCTGAGAGTTACTAGCAGCAATGAATTGCAACAATAGTTTGCAGCTGGCATGCAAGTTTTATGTGAAGACCTTCCATGTGATTCTTAGTTACCAGTAGTTTCTTAAGCCTGTATTATTGCTAGTTTCCCTCAATTTCAATATTTCTGGCTAACAAAGCTATTGGATAGCAAGCAGTGATCATCATCATCATCTTATTGTATCGCAAAGATCATGGTAAATTCTTAATGATTATCGCTTACTGAAGATTACAGACATATTCAAAAGTCCTGGAGCCAGTATGGAGCTTTTAGTGCTTCCAGCTACTACTGGTTGTTACAGGCTGCTACAGTCTCTTTAAAAGAAGTGCTGTACTATGCACTGCTACAAGTCACTTGGCTTGGCATTTGGTTTCCTGATGCTCTGCCAATTTTCTCAAAACCTACTTTGAGACCAACTAAATTTTTTTTTAAATTTAAAAAAAAACTGATTTGAAGACTTTGCCAAATTTGAAAGCAGACATCAACAAATGACAAAAGAGGTCTAAAAGGTCCAGGATGATCAATGCAAGAGGTGTGCAATCGAGAAGTTCAAGACACTAACCTCAGAAACTTCGATGATGCCTATACCTACCATGACCGTGTGACTGATCAATCAATTTAACCATATTAAGTAGTTGACCAACAAACTCAAGTATCGGTATAGAGTACAACAACGTTGAGAATACATGCAATTTAAAGTGTAGTGTGCGTGGATGGACATGCAAGACAGAACAAGCAGCAAAAAAATATCAAGCATGAAGACAGGCAATCACGAGCAAAATCTACATTCTAAGGTGAAGACTAAGTGCACAATCAAACAGCAGAATGAATGTTCACCACATCGGTTCAAGACTTTTTGGAAGCCTGAGGTGCCATGGTAGATGGGGCAGAGCATTTGGATGCACAAGAAGTGGATGGGACCACATTCTCCTTGTCATGCCCATCCCTAGGTATGCTGAATGGCTGCCATTTCTCTTTTGGAATGTTTGTGCTGGCCTGCTTAAGTTTAGTAAGCTGCATGCCCTTCAAAACACTCATTGGCAAAGGGACACTGCTTCCTCTGCGTCCAGGTACAGAGTACTCATCATGTTCGCTAAGAGCATGTTCAACCATACTGTAACACCAGATAGTGTCCACAGCAACAGTCGCTACCCTTTGTGATGATTTGCCAGGTTCAGGAGGGAGGATTGGGTGACATGACTCGCACTTTAAAGGCACATTGACCTAAATGAGGTGTAGGGAGAGAGAGATGTGAGTCGTTGATGAGACACATCGAATCGATATTGACGCATCAATGCTCATGATATTAATTAGTCACATGTCCTCAAAAATCACATCCAAGATGTCTCGTTTAGCTAGTGCTGCCGAAGTCCGGTTCGGTCGGGTTCGTCACCTCATATCTGCGAACCCCGAACTCGACCAGTGGTCAGGTTCAGGCAAGATGGCCAAACCTCGAACTGGACACCTTCGAATGCGTTCACAAGAGTTCGGTCCAGGTTCAGAACGGGTTCGAACCCTCGAACCATTGTTTCAATTATTAGAAAATGACAACAGCATTGTACTGTACAAATAGCTACCAAATTTACTCATTGTGCACAATGACATGGTTATCATAAGGAGCCAAAAATTTGGCCTGGACAGTTGCAGAGATATGGCCTTGACGGTACACACTTTTGAGTAACTGAAGAGCTTTGAATGTTGCTGGTTGCAAACAGCTACGACGTGCCGTGCCAGTAATGCTGCCACTTGAAAATGTGTGCTTGGATGCAACAGCCGAACCTTGAATAGCGAGGTAGTCCTTGGCAATGCAAGAGATGGTTGGGTAATGGTGCTGGAAAATATTAGTATGCAAGTAACAACAATCAAACAATGATATATACCCCCCACCAGCCCACTATGTTGTCAACGTCCTCGAGCGGTGCATCTAGGTAGTCCTCAAGCTCTTGACAAGGCCTTCGTGTGGCTGCGTCATTGACGACGTGTGATTTGACAGAGCTGCGCATCCAACTATGGCCATATGAGCCTTGGCGAGCAAGCGCAGGTGGCTCAGTGACAGATGGCTTTGCAGGAGCCTGCGAGGAAGTACTGTGATGATGATATCTATCAAACTATGTAATGTTAGTATACAATTGACAGTGAGTGA